TCTAGAATTTGCTTTACAAGTCCACCTTCCCACGATTGCACCCTTTCTGTTTTCTCTTAGAGCCTTTAAGATCCATGGCTTTCTCTTAGGCCATTTCCTCTTCCCTAAACACCCTTTGTCAGGACACCCACAGTGCTCCAAACATTTAGGGACCTCTCACCGTGGTTCAGTGAAGCCCACACGTTACCCCAGATCTGGTCAAGTCTGTGTGCAGCCAGATTTCCTACAGTTCTCTCCAGTGACCCCCTACCTCAGTCACGTCGATGAACCCCATAAATAGCCTGTCTCACACCCAGACTGTCTGTGTGTCCTGGCGCTCCATCACCCGCCCGCATCTCTCACCAGACCTTTGGTCTGCCAACCTGCTACAGCACTAAGTTGAGTAGTGAACGAAGGTTCTCAAGATAAAATGGCGAATCATGTTCCACTTTTAAGATGTCATATTTCCTTACTCGTCTTGACATACAGTCAGAGAAAACAGCAACAACCACACATGTTCACTGCAATAGTGTCAACCCAAACACACGTAACTATTTAAACTTGAGGAAAGATGTAAGAGTCATGATTTGAAGGAGGAAAATGCAATGACATGATAATCTGCGTGGAAGTCTTTGAAGGATATAAGGCAATACAAGTGTATATGAAATAGTAGCAGTGCACAGAATATAAATATATAAAACAATACTATCTTGAAATAGATTTAAAAAATAATTAAGATACCACGTTTGTGTATTTTACTAGCAATTTCATACCCTCAGAGAAAAATTCACATGAAAGACCGCCTTTAGGCGCTATATCAAACTACTCTAGAAAAATGAGTCTGTCCATGTACATGTAAATGTATTGGCATTTTGATTTAGATTTAGTTACTGATGTATATAAAATAAATGAATTATTATTGAATGTTTACTTAGAAATTTTCCTTGTGACTCAGGATGAGAAACAGTTCCTCTGACACGGGGAGATTTTATTTTGCACGGGTGAGGATGAAGTGAAATGGAAGAGTGAGGTGGTTGGTTGCTTCTCTGCCATCTTTTCTGCAGCTGAAGCAACAAACTCACTTGTCCTAAAAGGGTTACCAGTTATAACTGGCCAAGTAATTCCTCACATCTATTATTTCTATATAGTGCGCTTAATTAGCACCACTTATATATCTGCCTTAAAGCAAAATCCTAGCATCCAATTCCCAGTAAAAGGGATGTAAAACTGTAAGAGGGGCGTGTGGGTGGCTCAATCAGTTAAGCATCTGACTCTGGATCTCAGCTGGGGTTTTGGTCTCAGCTGAGGTCTTGGTCTCAGGGTCCTGAGTTCAAGCCCTGCACTGGGCTCTGCACCCGGGATGGAGCTTACTTAAAAAAAAAAAAAAGGGCGCCTGAGTGGCTCAGTCGTTGGGCGTCTGCCTTCGGCTCGGGTCATGATGCCAGGGTCCTGGGATCGAGCCCCGCATCGGGCTCCCTGCTCCGTGGGAAGCCTGCTTCTCCCTCTCCCACTCCCCCTGCTTGTGTTCCCTCTCGCTGTCTCTCTTTCTCTATCAAAAAAAAAAAAAAAAAGATATGTAAAATTACATCTTTAGATTTAATAGCTTTTTTTTATTCTTCTCATGTATCCAAATGCCAAAGTCTTCTTTCTAGTCCTCTCTTTTTGTTATATTATGTGAAATAAGTATGCGGTTAATGTCTTAAATGCCAATGTGAAAACAAATATCATCTTCACTTAATTGATGATCTGTTCCACATAAAAGTCCTTAAAGGTATACTCCCATCTATAGCAAACCTGTACTATCTTAGTTTCATTGTTGTTCATTATTAATAATATTATGAATAATTAACCATGAAATGTTTTCATCATTAGTAAGGATAAGAAAAAGGCACAGTTCCATTCCTGAGTATGGAGAGTTTATATAAAATCAATAATTGATCTGTACCAGTTGTGTGATCTTGGGGAAATCCCTTGGTTTTCAAACTATTCTGTTTCAGTTTCCTCACCTGTAAAATGTGGTTTATGAACCCGTTAGACAAGGTAACCGTGAAGATTGCATGAGTCCCTGTATGTGAAGAACTTAAAAAAGTGTATGACACACACTACGATGATTAGAATTCACACATCAGTCTTATGATAGATTGTCACCTTTGAAAAATGACATGCCTAACCGAGTCTGTCCGGTTCTCAGTGTGGCAAATCTGTGAGGAGGACCAAAGAAAAGAATTCCAGCCCCGCTGTCCACAAATGCAGAGCCCCAGATATGGCTGGAAGACAGAGATAGAGCAGGTCCTGCCTTTGGGAAGGAGAAGCACTTCCTTCAGGGGTGGGTGAATCCCAGGCGAGTCGATTCTCCGTGGCTTCGCTTTCCTCCTGGAATGCCCCCTGAAGACAAACTATGGCTTCCCATACGTATTTCCATAGTTACCTGACAGTGGCCAAGCTCTCATTGCACACTTTGGGTTCAAGACTTACCACTGTGTTCAATTAATTACCCCTTCTGCATTCCAACCCCCACTCCATCCTCCTGACCTCATTCGGTCAAGAAGGAAGACCGCGGCCTCTCCTGATGACCGGACGGTGACCAGAGGGGGGGTCAGGACCCTCATTATCCCTTTCACTTCCAGCCACCCTCCGGGGAGGTCTGACTCAGGACTGCCTGCATTTATAGAGGACGTGCAATGCACACCGTCAGCTAAAGGACTTGATAGATTCTAATGCATGCTAAACCCAAATACACATAACCGGTTGTTACAGCCATAAAAAATATTTCTTCAAATGTTTTCCTTAGACTAAAAATAATCTATTTACCACTATATCAGTATTTTTCCATCTTCCACTGTAAGACTTTTTTTTTCAAATTTATAAAGTAATGGATAAAATGACTTAAATTTGATTTTTGAATGGTTCATTTTATTGATCACTGTCAAATTCAATTTTAAATAAAAACTCCTGATTTATGTGACTAGGTTTTATATTCCAGTTATCAGAATTCACTTGAGTTTCTTTTTTTTAATTCCTTTTAAGTCTGATACGTTGAACAAGTTTGACGCCCCCCACCCCCATTATTCCATCCACAGAGCAACCAAAGGGGGATACTCTGCTTTGCTGTTTTGATGTTCTTTCCATTTATTTTGGCTCTTATGTTAATAAAAAATCTTATTCCTTTAAGAAAGAAAAAAAGGCAAAAAATATACAACAAGGCCCATGTATTATTACTATTTCCCAAGGGGATTACTGACCTAAAATGCTTGTTGAATTTAATACATAAAGCCACATGTCTGCGAGACTCCTGGGTGACTCATGTTAAGCGTCTGACTCTTGATCTAGGCTCAGGTCTTGATCTCAGGGTCCTGAGTTCGGCCCTGCATTGGGCTCTGTGCTGGGCATGAAGCCTACTTAAAAAAAAACGAAAACAAAAAACAGGACTGCCCACTGTTCAAAGACCACCAAGGCATAGTCCTGAGATTGAACACCCACCCACACATCTAGCATGAGAGATACACCACATACTTTTCTCCCCATATTTTTTTTCTTTTCTTAAAAATATTTTAAAAGATTATTATAATTAAAATATATATAATTACATATAAATATAATAATATAAATATGTCTATAGTTTTTAAAAATATTATGAAACCCAATTTCCATTGTGTTGGGTCCCCATTCCGCCCCGCTGCCCAGTAAAGCCTGTCTTTATGTCTTCAGTTAAGGAGAGATAAGGGACAGGTGAGCCCAAGTTTTTGTGTGTTTTCTCTGTGCCCTTCTATGTGGGGACTTTATGAGGTTCAAGTGCATAAATCCGTGGGAGCTGATCTTAGATCTCTAGCAATTTCCTTCTGGCAAGCAGACTAGGGAATCATGGCTAGAGGTGTAGCTGATTGTACTAATTGTTAGAGGAGCATGGAGATGTCAGAGAAAATCACAATCATGAAAATGGGCACACACACGATGTCTGCCCAAGTTACAGAACACCGCACAAAATGAACGCTGGGAGCTCCTCTCGCTGCCTCGCCTCCACTGTGTCCTTTTCACTGATTATGCCAAGCACACAGTTGTAATTATTAACTTGACCATTATTCTTCACACTCATTTTGTTGAATTTTTTAAAAATCACTTCACTTGGCACATAGTGTGGCCAATAAATTATTTGGCGCCGAATCCCATGGAGCGCTCTTATCACACACACACACACACTCACACACGCGTGCGCACACACATGCACAACATCTCTATTATTTGATGTTAATTTTGGACTGATTGGATTCTAAAGCTCGAGTCTTTCAGCTAAACTGTTCACTTTCAAGGTGAGCAGGGAGGTTAAGTGACTTTCTTTGAGTTGACAGAAAATGGAGAGCTATATTTATTTTTTTTACCTTGATTAAAGCTGCTTTTATGCAAATTTGGATCTAGTAGTGAATGACCCTCTGCTTTCCTCGGGAGAAGGGGAGGAGAAACTAACATGTACGTCCACTGAATGCTCTTTTGTCCTGAGACATAATGCAGACAGGCTTAGTGCCGTGACATAAGACTGGGCCGAGGAATGGTTTTCTGTATTGTTAGGTCCCCTTTCCATGTGTTCAGGTTGATGCCACAAAATATGAACATAAGGAAATTACTTCCATACAACAGAGCCGTCACACTGGAATTGGTGGGGCATTTTACGAGGTAGAAGTGAGATGTGGGGAGGGAGGGGTATGACTACCCTATAACGCAGCCAGTGGGCTCGGGCAGAGTCATCTTATGCTAGATCTCTCTGTGGGATAGCAGGCTGCTTCCGCGGAGTAAGAAGTATTCTATGAAAAGAAACAGGAAATCTTGGGAATGGACCAGTGGAGGCTCTTTCTTGTCCAGTTAGTAAACAGTTAAAAACAAAAGTCACAAATCTATAAAAACAATATATTAATGGCAAACATACATTGAGAGAGGAGAGGGCTGTCATGATTGTAGAGTTGTTATGTACTAAAATCAGTAATTCCACTTTTGAATTCTTTCTTTTTTTAATGTCCTATTTATTTTAGCTGAATGTGGGGCAAGTGTCAAAGGAAATGAAGGAACGTTGCTGTCTCCAAATTTCCCATCAAATTATGATAATAACCACGAGTGCATCTATAAAATAGAAACGGAAGCCGGCAAGGGGATTCATCTTGGGGCTCGAAGCTTCCAGCTTTTGGAAGGGGACGTTCTAAAGGTAAGAAGAATCTTCTTGAATGAGGCTCCATCTCTTCTTCTCAAGGAACACATGAAATAGTTATCCATATATACATGTAGAGATGTATGCATCTATTAATATATCTTTAGAGATACACAATTTTTCCAGCTTATTTACCCAGTTGATTTGTGAAGGTGTTCCTGAGTGTCCTCAGGGGAGGCTTTGATCTATCTTAGTCTGTAATCCTGGACCTCACATTTGTTAGTTGCATATCTTGGGCATGTGATTTGATACTTGAGGTTTAGCTTCTTTATGTGTAAAACATATGATGATACCTATCTTTGGAGGATGTTTTGAGGTTTAAATAGTATACTGCTGGTGGATGTTTCTGGGATTATGCCAAGCACACAGTTGTAATTATTAAAGCTGGTGGGGCCCCCAAAGCAACACTTAATATAGTCATTCTCAATTTTTAAATGTGGTCATGACATCCAAAGCTAGAAGGATTTTGATGTGATAGTGGAAGCAAGCTCAGCCACTATCCCTAGACCACAAAGCAGGGCTCAGGTAAAGAAGCCAAACCAGGATAAGACAGAATTTTAGTGGACAAGTCTAAGCTGTGTTCACAGGACTCAGGGATATGCTTGGGATGGGACCAGAAGCAAGGGTTCTGTGCATTATATGATACAAAGTATCAGAGCCTCAGGAAAATGCTCTGGGGAGCAGGACCCAGCCCATCACCCACATTGTAGACGGATGCCGGGAACAAAAGGCAGGAGAAATGGATTCTGGGGACATTCAGGTCTTGACTTGATCTATGAAATCCCAGCTCTAACTGGAAGTGCCCCATAGTTCCTAAACTTCTAGTATAGTTCCCACATCTTATGTACTTCTTTGAAAAAACTGGAGCCCTTCCAGGGTCTGGGGCCAGGGAGGGGGCATTTGTAGAGCAAGGGCATGCAAAGAGGGGCATCAGACTAATGCCAGACATTACCCAATCTCTCTCCCTGCGCGGTCCAGTGAGGAGCGAGCACCTGGTCCAGGTTACACAGCCCAGGTGTGGCAGGAGAGAGACACATCTCCCTGCTCATTCCTTTGTGAAGTTCTCAGGTTTTCCACTTACATTTACCTCTCTGTAGACTCACACGCTGACACTTCTCAGAGTCAGGAGCATCCACGCACCTTAAGCTGTGAGCATTAGGAACAGAGGAAAAGAGCCAGCCTATAGGGAAACGTCAATAACCCCCGTTTGTCATCCATTTGCATCATGGCTAAAGAGGGTCCCTCCAGGACCTCACCTGACCTCATCAGCTGTTAGGCGTCCACTCAAGAGGTGCTTAAAGCCTCAGGTGCCTTATTGCCTCCTAAGCCCAGCTCCGATGTTCCAATGTCATTGTTAAGAAGAGAAGCTTTGTTCTAATTGTTCTTTTCTTGTAATCGACTTTCAAAAGCTCATGCTGACATCATGAAGCTCTGTAATTAAGAAGTGATTTTCAGGCAGGAAACTAGTACATTTTCACCGATCTAAAAAAAATTTAAACTTGCGTCGTAAGTAACCATTTTCTGAGTTCTTTGATAACCTCAAATTTAGCAGTCAGTAAGCCTTTAGAGAAAACTTTTAGGTAACAATTACCTATACTTGGTGCAGGTGAGTAATTTAGAGATACTGCATAAAATGTACACTGGTAAATATTATTGCCATGGAAGGAAGCGAATAATGTTCATTCATGATTACCGCAGCTTAAAGTTGTTGATTATAAGCAAAAGCAAAAACAAAAACCTGCTTTACCCCATTTAATTGCAGAGAAACTGCCAATCATCTGAAATGCCTAAGTGTTTTGCAAGCATATATTTTATTGAATATGCTAATAAATATGTGTTTGAAACATTTCAAGTGGGATTATCTTATTTTTTAGCTTTAAATGCTATTCACATTGCTCCTTCATACATAGTATGATCTAATAAGAAAGACCAAAATTTTATAAAAATATTTCCATGCACAAAAACGTGATGTTTCCTTGCTTCATATGGAAAAAATCATTGAAGAGAAATACACGTGTTATGCGCAAACAATGAATCATGGAACACTGCATCAAAACCTAATGATGTACTGTATGGTGACTAACATAACATAATAAAATGAAGAGGAATATATAATGGAAAGCAAAGTTAATTTGGGATGTTCTGGGTATAACTGCTGTCAAACTGGGAAGATTCCCCCACGGGACTCGGCGTGATGACTCCTAATCTGTGATCATCTGCTAACTGGACTATTCCACTCTTAAGCGTATGGCATTGATTAAATGCCAAACCCTGAGAAGCGTTTGTGATGTAAACAGTTACAGCCTTGTATTAACATGTGACTCAAGGAGCATTTTTCTAATACCTAAAAGGAACACTTGGATTCCAGGAGCGTATAGACCAGGGTATGTACATGACAGGCAATATGCTGAACTCAAATGACTTGTTCCTAATTTAATTGGAATTAAAAATCAAGTCTCCTGACTTCCAGTATTATCTGGGTTGTCATTTGTGATCCATGCAAAACTTGAATCCAGATTTTCAACTTGAGGGAGCTGAGAAAATGATGCTCCATGTAGAGGGTGACTTGGTCATCCTGACATTTCCCCTGCTAAGCGCAGTGCTCATTGCCGGTGATGTCATCAAATACGACAGGATTTTTTAGTGGTTGTAGTTTGGAGGATACTGGGAGCTGGCTGCAGTCTGAATGATCTTTTTGGCCTGTGGGAAGCTCCCAGTCAAGGCCAGCAGAGGTGACTCTGGACAATGCTTCAGAAGTCTAAGGATTGAGTGTCCATGCATATTTACTTGCTCAAATGCTCCTTATCTCTGTGAGTTTCTGTGGCTTACAGAGAATTGTGTGGTATGTGGAGTGACATGAGACCTTTCCAGGAAGGCCTGGACATTTTCTTTCTGAGCCAGATTCCTCTGGGTTTTTAAAACTCATTAGAGTCTGGGTGTCACAGACCTCACCATGTCTGACGAATCCACATGTTAAGCCAAGCGATGATTTTTCCAATAGTCGCCAGTGGCTGGAGGAATTGTAGGGCATCTGACTCCACTATTCTAGCATCTGCTCGTTTAATTGGAAATAAATAAAATAATGATTTATAAAATCAATTTTTCTAAATGTGTTTTCTTCTTTTAGGATTCTGTATATAAGTCTGTTGAGCAAAGAATATGGTCTATACATGTATTAGAAGGGAGTTAAGAGAAGAGAAGTAAGAATTAATCCATGTGAGAAGGAAAATAGTGGGGAACTAAACAGACATTGGAGGAGTCTACTGAGGACTTCTGTGTCCTTTATTTAGTTAAGATTTTTTTATCAAGAAAAGCTGGATGTTTTCCAATATAATACATACTGATTCTATCTTCCAAGAATCCCTTATCTGTACCAATGTGGTTTCTTGCTATGAACCATTGCAATAGTTCAAAGGGGCAAATGGATTAACCATTCCCCCTCTGCATTCTATTCTTGATAGTTTCCTAGGGGTGCTGGGTAGCCTCAGCACTGAATCCTTCCTGAATGCAAACACGGTCTATTCTGGCCTTAGCAGAAAGCACACACACGCCCATGCCTTAAACTGTTTGACACAGTCCCCACTGAGGAAATGTGATTGGCAGTCATCCACGCCCGGTGTGGTCTACCTCAGGGAAACTCAGAGACACAGCCCCAAACGCCCCCTCTCCCTTACCCTTAAGGTCCGCACAAAAGCAAGCCTGTCTACCTGCCTTGCAAATATTTGTTATAAACACTCGTGCTTTACAACCACCTAGGGAGGTAAAGTCAAGTACAAAGTGTTTCAGAGCCAGGCAACATATGTCTCTGATATTATTACATGGTGAGATTCTTTTACTACAACTAATTCAAGACTCAAGTCACCTCAGGCTCCATGGCTGCAAAATGGAACAAGATTGCCATGTCCTGTCTTATCTTGTAATACATTCAGATAGGAGAGAGCAGGGAGGGCTGAGATGTCCAATTACTTACATGATAGTTCAGAGGCAACGTCATGCCTAAAATAGTATACGTCCCTTCAGCCTTGGGGAGTGGATTCTGAGGGAGGGGGACAAAGATAAATAATGCAACTCGGAAATGCAAATAAATATTTCTTTAATTTTAAGTAAACACAGGAAGAACGCCCAAAGTGATGACGGTAGTATGAACTGACCACAAATGAACTCTTTTGTCTTTAATGTGGATGGTAAAGAAAAAACTTAAACACAAAAGACTGTTTCACAGTGTCATGCATTCAGCTTTCACTTCACTGTCTACCTTTTCCAAGTGCTGCACAAAATCACATCTTTGAAGATTTGAGTTTCTTGTTAGAATTGCTAACATACAAACAGAATTAAGTAGTACGGGGACTCACGTGGTGATTTCTCCTTAGGTGTATGATGGAAAAGACAGTTCATCACGTCCGTTGGGGGCCTTCACCAAGAATGAGCTGATGGGGCTGGTCCTGAACAGCACTTCCAATCACCTATGGCTTGAGTTCAACACCAATGGGTCTGACACGGACCAGGGTTTCCAGCTCACCTATACTAGTAAGTAGCATATGACATAGCATTGCATTTTGTTTTATTTTCTTGGGATACATCTATTACTTAGCTGATTTTTTTTTCTTTTTTACTTAGCTGATGAATTTTAAATATTGATCTTTTCCCCCTCTGGTCTCTCTACTGGGTTTTGGATTGCTCTTTAATTTTTAATTTAGACATGTTGCCAGAAGTGGTAGTTTGAAATTTATTGTCTTAGATGTATTAATATTTTTGTAAGATAATGGCTAGACCTGAAAAGAAAATATCCTGACATTTACGAGCTTCCGGGCTTAAAAAATGCTGATTATCATATAGCGCCCATTGACAGAGACTCATATATGTATATATGAAAGATTTAGAATGAATGTTTGATGTAATTAATAGGAATTGTCTTTGAATGCCTAACCTACTATTATACCTATATATATAATATATTAGAATCTATTATAGAATATAAATTTCATATGTGTAATATATATAGTCATAGATACATTTAAATACACACATATTAGGTCATAATATAAAACAGCCCTGTGTACTAAACTCTTTCTTAGCACAACTAATGTCCTAAACACAAATAATTTCAGTATTTGCCAAAGATAGCAGGTGTATGAGCGCTGGAGTCAGGCTTTGATCACAGACCTGCAGTTTTAAGCAGTGTTTTGTAGTGCCCCCTTTATTAATATACATCAATGTAGAAAAAATATGTTTAGAGATGAATGTGAAGAAGACAAAGAAGGATATAAAATAAAGGAGGGAAAGAGACTGTGCTTTCAAGAAGAGAAATGTGCAATATGACCTCTGTTATTCCTATTAAATTACATAACAAAGCTTCTTCTATTACAGTCAGAAAATGCACATTTAGATGAGAACAAAAATTAAGTACAAATACAATAAATCTGGTTCCAAGAAGCTATTTTAAAAGCAAAAAAATAAGAAAGTGCATTTGGAATAGATTTTTAAAAATCTGTATTGGCATTTTTCATGAGGAAACATCTTTCCAACATTTTTAGTTCCAAAAAATAAAGTAAAACATGCAGCTATGTGGTGTGGATAACTAATTAAAATGAAGTAATCCATGAACTAAAATGCTTAAAAATGTACAAGACAGTCCAATCCTGCACTAATCTGACGTTAAAAAATATTCATAACACCAAATACCATGACAAAAAACAAAAAATTTCGGATGTTTTTTAGCATGAAAGCATATTAGTGATCATCGAGATTGATTTCTTTATTTGACAGATAAGGAAATGAAAGCCTGGAAATGATCATAATTATCCCAGACACAGAGCTAATCCAGGTGCCTCAAAGGAAGATTAATTTCCTCAAATCCCCCTCGGTGGGCAAAATTACAGGTGAAGGGCTGTAAGACTTTGGGCAAAAATAGAAGTAGAGTAGCTGACATCATGAGAAAACCTATTTTTCATGTTCATGAAAATAACCATTTACAAGATTCAGTACACCGCAAGTATATTAATTATATTGTATGCAAAATAAATTAGTAGCAGTTGGCATTCTAAAATCAATTCATAATTAGAATTTTCCATTACTAGAATTCCACTTTTCAGAATTTCACTCTGAAACATGTTTCAAAGAAGTCTTTAAAAAAAAAAAAAACTTTCGCCCTGTTTTCAGATAAGATGTACCCTGTTATGATCTCTTTTTTTCCTTCTGCTTTGGGTTCCCCATCAGTATGTTCATAGTTTTTGTTCTATTACTTAGATGTGTTAATCCCTACTTCCTAGCTATTATACTCATTTTAGAGTCTTAGAGGAATATGAGTACTTGAGAAGGAAACCATGTTGAGAAATCTTTAGGTACCTCTCTGGGTTTATTATAACTGAGGAGAAGTTCCAGGCACACCTGGCTTGTTTCTGTGATTCTGTTGTTGCCTAGCTTATCTGAAAAATCGTACTTCCTATTATGGTTTGTCCCCAAAGAGAAGGAAGTATTGGCCTTCGTGTTTCCCTGTCTCTGTGCACATCTGTTCTCATCCCTGATATCACCCAAAGTCTGGAGGTAACTAAGCTCAATGTGACTCTTCCTCGGCTGCTTTATAGAAAACCTGTCATGCTAAGCTTCTGTTTTCATCTCATCTCAACCCTAGTTTCTGCTTCCTATTTGTGCTCTATTTCCAACTGGAGAAATTCTTAATTTATGGAACACCTGATCCTATATTCTCATGGTTGTGCAGAAGATATCCAAAGCAAGTGCATGCGTTCTGGAATTTCAAGCAAGCGGATTTATCATCAAGGGGGGAGTTCCTTTACTGTTTCCAGAATTCTGACTTCCCCTTTTATTTTCCCAAATAGCAGTTAAGAAAGCCCATAAGTCCTACAAACAGGTGGCTGGGATGAATAGGCTTTCTGTATGGCATCCACTTTCCCTCATCAGGAAGGGTTGCTTCCATGTGCTATTCTTAGCTCCCATTCGATGTCACATGGCTGTTGTGATCCCATGTTTCTCTATGGTATCTGGCATAGCTCCAGGACCTTTAGCTGGTGCCCCCATCCCCCCCCCGTTTCTCTGGTTAACTTTGAGAAAGCTGGAATCTGTGGTCTGTGATCTATTTATGGACACTTTCTAATTATATGGACTTTTTTTTTTAACATAGCAGCACAGACTTTCTGAGTTTCTGAGAAGACAAAATATTGGCAATGATTGGTATTTAGCTCTTAATATAACCTATTTGACAAGAGTAATTATCTTTTCTGCCTGTTTTCTGTCTTTGCCTCCACCTACAAAAACATTTTTGTAGGTGTGATTTTTGCTTGCAAGATTGTCCTAGAACTGTAACACACTGCCAGATGGGAAAAAATATATTTGTAATATAGAATTGACGGTGCTGATGGCTATATAATCAAAATATCATTAACTTTCCATTAAATTCTTGGGTTTAAACACTAAGTAAATAAGTTTGAAAAATCCCAAGCTCCCATGATGGGATCAAATACCTGAATCAAATATTCATCCCTAGAAGATAGCTTGGAAATAATGAATGGTTATAAAATGTTTTGAGCAAATTATAAAAGCTTAAGACTATGTAAAGACACTTTCAGCTGACTTCCAAAGACTTTTGTAATTGCCTCTTCCTAGTTAATTGCATTACTTAAGGAAACATTCATATTTAAATGTTTCAATCCATAATTAATCTACACACACGAGTGGATCAGAAAATGTCAACAGAAAGTAAATATATAGCTTATTAAACATCCTACTGTTTTCGAAGTAGGTACAAATGATGTTCATATTTCTTTTAATATTTACAGTATACTCTTGCATACCTTCTGATTTTACCACCTTGGTAATTCTGGGTCCTGGTAAAGAGCTTTTACTTTTCTTCAAGAATTAGAAATTGAGTCTCTAAATCTTTGAGTGGTTTGCTGAGGCTTTCACATCTGGAAGAGGAATAGATGGGACCCAAAACCAGGTCTTTTGACTGAAGCCCAGAACTGTTGATAAACCTAATTTTGCATATTTTAGATGATCCCTCCTTGTTGAGTAACACATGTATTGCATGATATTTATATATGTAAGGGCATTGGACAGGAGGAAAAGCCAGGCATCTTTGAGACAACTTGGGATAAATACATTATATCTTAGGCAGCTACCAGTTTCTGAGTAATAGGTTAAGGCAACACGCAACTGAAAAAATTTACCTCCATGACCAAACATTCCTTTTTATTACAGATCTGTTTATTTTCATAACAGATCATAGTCTTCTGATTCTATAATTATATCACATGGAAGCATAATCCATAAGCTCTGAGATCAGGGACCAAGGGTGTTCATATTTTATTATCCTCTGTACCTTACTCAAATGTCTGATCTGTAATACAAAAAGTTTAGATTGTATCATTGTTATTCAAGCTGTGTTCCGTGAAGCACTAAGATTCCACAGAGCTGTCTCAGGGCAATAAGAATTTCACGTTATCTAAACTTAGGCATTTTTTTTTTTTTTTTTGCTTTCTCCCAGTGATTGCAAAGCTCTTCAGATATCAAGAAAAAGTGTATTGACAGCTATGTTTTCTAAATATTTCAGCAACTCCTTTTACAGAAAAATAGTTCTGGAAATTTAAAAAAATCCTATATTTGAATTCAGAATTCTTTTAAAAATATGTTTAACTATTTTAGAGTTCCACAAGAATGTTCCCAGAACAGTCCCTCTTCAGAACCACTTTACCACAAGACGTATGGGAGGATTTGGAACTGAAACAGCCTTTTTGGATTGTATACTCTTAGTTCTTTAAGTAGAGAGAACAAAACAAACCCTCTGTGGCAATTCAACAAAAATTTTCTCTACCCGGTGGTATAGTGAAATAATTGTAGTTCAGACAAGTATTTCTGGGCTGTCTTGGTGGATCCATTTTCCAGTTAATCAATGACTATACATGCGTTGTCTTTGTACTGAATGTTTAGCACTATATTGGGGCAGAGTAGGCAAAACCGGGGTTCCTGTTCATAATAAAGGGCTTAGGATAATCACACGTGGGACTTGTGAAACACTGGTCAAAAGAAATATGACTAAATAGTTACATTCTCAACTCTGGAATGGATCTTAGGTGTTGTACGAGTTGATTCATGGCCCTGATTCATATAGACTGATATGTTGGACCCTTAATGTATTGTTATATTTGGCCCTTAATACATTTCATCGTTATATTAACTTGTTCTTTTTCCCCCAAATAAACTATGATAATAGGTTTATATAAATGATAATATGTGATTTTTATATTTTAAGCCACACAAACACAAATAGAATTTTCCAGAAAAATTAGAGATCATTGAAGGCTGGAATAACAGTAGAAGCCTCCAGAATGTTCTTTCCTTACTGCTAGATGCCCTTTCTTCTTTCCTCAAGATTAAGCTTAAATGCTATTTCCTATATGAAAGTTATCCTGCTGTCCAGCTTCCCGAAGGAGCATCACCTGCTCTTTCTTTTATGTCTCCAATCTTATACATTGTACATCTTTTGCTTTCACACCAGTAAAATGTGAGGTTCT